GAGAGGAAGGAGCAGTATAGGAGAGGGTGAAGGAGTAGGGAGGGAGGGGGTGAAGGAGTGGGGAAGGAGAGGGAGAAGTTATTCATATATACTTCACGTTGTATAATTAAATAAATCATATATACTTCACGCTGTATAATTAAATAAATCATATATACTTCACGTTGTATAATTAAATAAATCATATATACTTCACGCTGTATAATTAAATAAATCATATATACTTCACGCTGTATAATTAATAAATCATATACAGTATACTTCACGCTGTATAATTAAATAAATCGTATATACTTCACGTTGTATAATTAAATAAATCATATATACTTCACGCTGTATAATTAAATAAATCATATATACTTCACGCTGTATAATTAATAAATCATATACAGTATACTTCACGCTGTATAATTAAATAAATCATATATACTTCACGCTGTATAATTAATAAATCATATACAGTATACTTCACGCTGTATAATTAAATAAATCATATATACTTCACGCTGTATAATTAATTCCATGTCAATATGTTTCACCAAAAGGCTCACTGTGAGGGCAACAGCTCCTCAGAGGGTCAGCAATACCTTTACTATTACGAATACAAAATTATACCTGTAATTTTCTGGCTAAATAAACTACTTTGAGGTTAAGTAAGATAACCTGGTGGCTTGAAGTCTTAATGATACTTACACTAGCGATCCACCACACCTGTATGTCACAACCTGTCGACACACCAGGTGGAACGAGGTCTTGTTGATGCCTACATTAGCGATCCACCACACCTGTCTGTCTAGTAGTGTGATTTAGACTCTACAGATTACCCCACACACTTACCTGTAAGAGAGAAAAACAATTAGTTACCTGATAAAAGAGAGAGAGAGAATATATATATATATATACATAAATTCATCCTTAACTCTATTAACTATTTAGAACAAGACACAAGAGGTTGATAAATTACCCTTAATACACTCACAACTTCTCATAAGGAGAGGAACACTAGGAAGGAACACCTCCTCCATCTAACACAGATCATATCAACACCTCTCACGCCTGATAAATAATAAAGATTACATGAGTAAATACAAACCTTTTTAAATTGGTTTTGCACTCCGATATGATGTATTATTTATTAAAAAAAAAAAGCGTATGTAAGCAATGTGTGTATAAAATCGTTGCTGTATGTGTGTATGTGTGTGTGTGTGTGAAAAGTGTGTGTAAAGTGTAAATTATCGTACATACAAAATACTACTTAATTAGACCCCATCCCCCTCCGCCCCCACATAGTGTTCTCTCTATACTGTATTAAGTTTACCTGTCATCCTCTTTATAATTAATAATTCATTACTGGTGACTGATAACGCACACGGCCACTAATCCTCTCCCTCTCTCTCCTTCCTCTCATCTTGACCGCCACTCATCCTCTTTTTTCCTTACTGCCACTCTATACTTCCCCCTTTACATTATACAGTCTCTCTCTCTCTCTCTCTCTCATAGCTCCTCCCCTCTCCCCATAATCCCTTCCCTTCCCTCCTCCTCCTCTCCCATGATCCCCTCCCGCCCCTCCCTTCACCCCCATGATTCCTCTCCTCCCCTACCCTCTCCCCCGACGATTCCACCCCACCCTTCTTATCTATGATTCCTCCCCACCCTCTTCCCCACGATTCCCTCCCTCCTTCTGCCCCATGAATCCTCCCACCCCTACCCCATGATTCCTCCCCACCCCTCTACCCCATGATTTCCCTCCACCCCTTTACCCCATGATTCACCCCCCCCCTCTATCGATCGTCTGCCTTACACACAACACAGTTTACGTGGCTGGCAGGGTAGCATTGTTGGGCCTTGATTGGTTGTTAAGGTTTAGTAAAATTGCTCCTTTTGTCAGACGAGTCAACCGAGGCGGGGGAACCAGATGGTGGTCTTTGATGCGTATCTGCGTACCTCATACCCTAATGCCCTGACTCGTATTTGCGTACCGTATACTCTAATGCCCTGACTCGTTTTTGCGTACCTCATACTATTATGCCCTGACTCGTTTCTGCGTATCCCACTAACTAAACGCCCTGAAAAAATTTGCGTACATCGTACTCTACGCAGGTACAGTACGCCTGGATACATAACAGCGTCTCTAAACGAAGTCGTATGAACATAAACAGCACAGACGTAACTCATATACGCCTTAATGCATCGTACTACTGTAGTGTGTGTGATGATTCACATACACGCTGACAACAAAACACAACTATTAATTACTATAGTTGATGTAATGTCCATCGGATTCAATTACTTCCTCACCTCCCTCCTTTCCAGGTAAAGGGACAATGACCTGAACCACGGTTCTGATCTTCAGCTCTGTACGACACACACACATGACGGCTGGGTAGGTCAAGTCTCCCCTGCATTTCCTGAACCCTTAATTATGTGACACCTAGAGCGTTCTACCGTCCCTGAACCCCCCTCCCCATTGTGGCATATCAGTCACTTTACCAGTGCTCTCTCTCTCTCTCTCTCTCTCTCTCTCTCTCATATACACACACAAGACACATACAAACACAAACCACATATTAATACACCACACACACAAACAAACCACAATAGCAACATACGAGTACAATGAACGTTCGACAACAAATACACCATTTACAAACACAACAACTCTATAACAAGTCAATGGTGCTAAACTCACCAAGATAAAATCCCAAACGAACCTTAACTATCTAACAAGCTGCCATTCTACACGTGTGGTCCTAGGAATCCTACGGTAATCAGCTAGTGCACTGTGGACAAAGGCAGCTTGACAATAGATACTGTGTAGCGGTCGGTGGCATTGTGTGGTAGGGGTGCAGTGTTGTGTGGTGGGGGTGTTGTGTTGTGTGGTGGCGTTGTGGTATAGACAAACTGCCACCAATTTTATCGATCAATACGTCTCTTGAAGAGGGCAGGACTCGTGTTGTGTCGTGCCGCGAATCCTTGTTATAGACACTGTATCAATAGTGGTCACTATCCCCATCACCCACAAATAAACAACTACACACACACACACACACACACACACACACACCGTAAGTACCCTCTACACCCCATAAAGGTAATCAAAACACGCAGAAGGGCTCGAGTTATGGCGGAAGCAATCATGATTATTTATGACTTCGTTTTCCGGGAAGTTATTAAACCAGTAGACGCAGGAAGTCCAAATGGATGATCCCTGCCGGTGCCGCTTTGTCCCCGGGCCAGCCAGACGCGTGTTCTTGGGGTTGTAAATATTTTCAAGATGGGCAGCAGGCTACTATGCATCGACATCTGTGGCCACTATAAACTACGTTGATAGAGAAGAAAGAACGGTGATATTCAAGGGAGGAAGGGGGGGGGGGTATGGAGGAAGGGAGGGAAAGGGAGTTTAAATTTTGTGAGCCGTGAGATTTGTGTGTGTGTGTGTGTGTGATTTTCTGTTGTGGTTTAATGAGATGGTTGTAAGTTGTATAGGATTATCAATACAACAAACTTACATTTGTTTTGTTTTGTTTTATTTTCACTGATACACACTAAGTTCTAGTCATATATACCGGTATATAAAAGATCTCTTTTATAATTAAGTTTAAGTACTGAAAGTATAAGGCCAATACTCTCACAACTAATTGATGCACCACTACGACAGGTATAAGGGCAATACCCTCACAACTAATTGATGCACCACTACGACAGGTATAAGGGCAATACTCTCACAACTAATTGATGAACTACTACGACAGGTATAAGGGCAATACTCTCACAACTAATTGATGCACTTCTACGACAGGTATAAGGGCAATACTCTCACAACTAACTGATGCACCACTACGACAGGTATAAGGGCAATACTCTCACAACTAACTGATGCACCACTACGACAGGTATAAGGGCAATACTCTCACAACTAATTGATGCACCACTACGACAGGTATAAGGGCAATACTCTCACAACTAATTGATGCACCACTACGACAGGTACAAGGCCAATACCCTCACAACTAACTGATGCACCACTACGACAGGTATAAGGGCAATACTCTCACAACTAATTGATGCACCACTACGACAGGTATAAGGCCAATACTCTCACAACTAATTGATGCACCACTACGACAGGTGTAAGGCCAATACACTCACAACTAATTGAAGCACCACTAAGCTCCGTCCACTGTTGGTGAACTTGACCACCACCATTAGTGTTGGTTGGCGAGTCTCGCGGACACCTCAACAAATTCACTGTAGTTTAATCATCACTTTTTTTCTTCTCAGTGTTAATATATTAAAAAAAATCACTTGAAAAAACAAACATTATATTTGTGTTTAAGAGTCGGGCTGTGTTAAGTAGAACGACAACATCATAGGTAGAAAAAAAATTTGGTACAGTACTAAGCAGTGGAAGTGGATTCTATCGGCATGAAGGCCCTTTAAGGACAGCATAGTTACATAAACCTATATAAATTACTAAGGCTTTGGTGTTTTAAGAAGCAACGTGTCCAGTACTGCATTCGGCAGTCTTGTCGAGTTACTCTCGGTACCCATTTACAGCTGGGTGGGCTTGGAGTGCCCCGGGATCGACCCACTTGTACACTTTGCGGTAATTTTGCTTTATTCTCTCGATCCTTGTGTAACTATTTGATTGTTACTTTGCTTATGATAATTTTATTCATATTTATCTATCAGAGTTCAGTCCTACTTTGTTTCCAACTTGTTTAATATACATTTGTCTTTATCTATTCCTATGTAATCGTCTTTCTCCCAAATTTTTTCTCAAATCTGAAATCATCCTAAATTTTTCACAGTCCAAGAGATACTTTATTCTCGCCAAACGTTCAGAAGGTTTGGTGATCGCTTTTAGTTTATTACATCAATACTTAATACTTTACTTTCCTTCTAAATGTTATTGTGGAGAGTCGGTGCCCGGACTGCAGTGCTGAGGTGTCGACAAGTTGCCAATGACCCGAGTTGTTTAAGAGTATTTAACACCGCAGAGTGAAGACTGCGGCACGGGGAGTGAAGACTGCAGCATGGAGAATGAATACTATGGTATGGGAAGTGAATACTGCGGCAAGGGAGTGAATATTGCGGCACGGCACAGTGAGTGAAGACTGCATCACATGGATTGAAGAAAATGGCACGGGAAGTGAGGGCTGAGGCACAGGCATGGACGACTGCGGCACGGGGAGTGTGGACTGTGCCATGGGGAGGCCTGACTGTACATACTGACCAACTGAAAATGTTAATGAATCGCACCTATTCTTGCCTGGTGTCTCTGCGTCTCTTTGGTGTTGCCTGAGTGTCCTGTGTCTATATGGTGTTGCCTGAGTGCTCTGTGTCCATATGGTGTTGCCTGAGTGCCCTGTGTCCCTTTGGTGTTGCCTGAGTGTCCTGTGTCCCTTTGGTGTTGCCTGAGTGTCCTGTGTCCCTTTGGTGTTGCCTGAGTGTCCTGTGTCCCTTTGGTGTTGCCTGAGTGCTCTGTGTCCATATGGTGTTGCCTGAGTGTCCTGTGTCCATATGGTGTTGCCTGAGTGTCCTGTGTCTATATGGTGTTGCCTGAGTGCTCTGTGTCCATATGGTGTTGGCTCTGAGTGTCCTGTGTCCCTTTGTGTTGCCTGAGTGCCCCAGTCCCTATGTTGGGCTCTGAGTGTCCTGTGTCCATATGGTGCTGCCTGAGTGTCCTGTGTCCCTTTGGTGCTGCCTGGAGTGTCCTGTGTCCCTTTGAAAGTTGCTCTGAGTGTCCTGTGGTCCATATGGTGTTGCTCTGAGTGTCCTGTGTCCCTTGGTGTTGCTCTGGAGGTCCTCAAAGTCCTTCCCTTTGGTGTTGCTCTGAGTGTCCTGTGTCCCTTGGTGTTGCTCTGAGTGCCCTGCGCATCCCTTGGTGTTGCCTGAGTGTCCTGTGTCCCTTGGTGTTGCCTGAGGTCCTGTGTCCCTTGGTGTTGGCCTGATGCCCTGTGTCCATATGGTGTTGCTCTGAGGTCCTGTGTCCATGAAGTTGCCTGAGTGCCCTGTGTCTATATGGTGTTGCCTGGAGGTCCTGTGTCCCTTTGGTGTTGCCCTGAGTGCTCTGTGTCCATATGGTGTTGCCTGAGTGCCCTGTGTCCCTTTGGTGTTGCCTGAGTGCCCTGTGTGTCCCTTTGGTGTTGCCTGAGTGTCCCAGTGTCCCTTTGGTGTTGCTCTGAGGTCCTGTGTCCCTTTGGTGTTGCCTGAGTGCTCTGTAAATCTATATGGTGCTGCCTGGAGTGTCCTGTGTCCCTTGGTGTTGCCTGAGGTCTCTGTGTCCCTTTGTGTTGCTCTGAGTGCCCTTGTGTCCCTTTTTGGTGTTGCCTGAGTGTCCTGTGTCCCTTGGTAGTGTTGCCTGAGTGTCCTGTGTCTATATGGTGTTGCCTGAGTGCTCTGTGTCCATATGGTGTTGCCTGAGTGCCCTGTGTCCCTTTGGTGTTGCCTGAGTGCCCTGTGTCCCTTTGGTGTTGCCTGAGTGCCCTGTGTCCATATGGTGTTGCCTGAGTGTCCTGTGTCCATATGGTGTTGCCTGGTGTCTTCTGTCTAAATGCACCTTTGAGTTTTACGACAATTTACCCATCGGCATAAAAGCTACACCAAAATGTCGGTATTTGTGGAGTATGTTTACTGCCTCTTTCATCACAAATTCACATATATACACAAGCAATACCAAGTTTACTCTCACATATACACCAGCAATACCAAGTTTACTCTCACATATACACCAGCAATACCAAGTTTACTCTCACATATACACCAGCAATACCAAGTTTACTCTCACATATACCAGCAATACCAAGTTTACTCTCACATATACACCAGCAATACCAAGTTTACTCTCACATATACACCAGCAATACCAATTTTACTCTCACATATACACCAGCAATACCAATTTTACTCTCACATATACACCAGCAATACCAAGTTTACTCTCACATATACACCACCAATACCAAGTTTACTCACATATATACACCAGCAATACCAAGTTTACTCACACATATACACCAGCAATACCAAGTTTACTCTCACATATACACCAGCAATACCAAGTTTACTCTCACATAAACACCAGCAATACCAAGTTTACTCACACATATACACCAGCAATACCAAGTTTACTCACACATATACACCAGCAATACCAAGTTTACTCACACATATACACCAGCAATACCAAGTTTACTCTCACATATACACCAGCAATACCAAGTTTACTCTCACATATACACCACCAATACCAAGTTTACTCACATATATACACCAGCAATACCAAGTTTACTCACATATATACACCAGCAATACCAAGTTTACTCTCACATATATACACCAGCAATACCAAGTTTACTCTCACATATACACCAGCAATACCAAGTTTACTCACATATACCAGCAATACCAAGTTTACTCTCACATATACACCAGCAATACCAAGTTTACTCACATATACCAGCAATACCAAGTTTACTCTCACATATACACATATACACCAGCAATACCAAGTTTACTCACATATACCAGCAATACCAAGTTTACTCTCACATATACACCAGCAATACCAAGTTTACTCACATATATACACCAGCAATACCAAGTTTACTCTCACATATACACCAGCAATACCAAGTTTACTCTAGCTTTCAGCCATATTTATGAGGGTACACACATGGCCGGCCCTACGATCCTTATCTCCTAAGTACTCAAGGCCCCCACAGCATGTATAGTATCTCTTACAGTCCAGAAATATACGCAAGGCGAGGTTACAGTCCTTGTTTTATTAACCAACACACAAGGTGGTTGGTTCTGATACAGTCTCTTCAAAGAGTTTTCCCTTTCAGATCACTGCATGATTAGACACCCCAGTTTATTTTTCACTTGAAGATCAACACATCCTAATGTTAACCTAACCTAACCTAACCTAACCTAACCTAAACTAACCTAACCTAACCTAACCCACCCAAGCTCAAGCCAAACTAAACCTATCCTAACCTAGCTTAACCCAACGCCCAGGTATCATTTGGGTGGTTAATCCGCAGGTGAAACAAACTGAAGAGTCATATCTTCAGGTAATCCTTCTTGTCCTTAGAAAGGGTCAGTGTCTTATTGTTTTCCGCCTCTTATAAAAGTAATCTGATTGAAAACAAAGCCTCTCTACCTTTTTTTTACAATATATTCTTTAGTCACTTTTTTAGTCTCTTTTACAGTAGGAATATAAGTATTTATATTTTTTTATTTTAATTGTCTACTTTAAGAACCTACATAATTAAGGTACCTGCTTTAAAAGCTTAGTTGGTGGAACACAGAAACATCCATAAACAATAAACTTCTTAACCATACGAGTATTAGACGACAATAATTCAGTAAAACCCGATTATTTTTATTTTTAGTTCGCATGACATTAACTATTCATTTAACTATGGTGAGGAGAGTATATCTGTAATGGTAGACTAGTATATATATATATATATATATATATATATATATATATATATATATATATATATATATATATATATATATATATATATATATATATATATATATATATATATATATATATGTGTGTGTGTGTCAGAGTGATACGGGTATATTTCAAAGGTAGATGAGTATACTTCAAAAAGATACAAGTATATTTCACACTGATACGGGTATAATTTCAGTCATACGAATAACTTCTAATATATACAATAATATTTCATAACTGGCACCAGTATTCTCTACCCCCTCTTACGAGTATATAAAAAAAAATACGAATATACTTCACACTTAAACGAGTATATACAAAAAACCTGTTAGGAATATACTTCAAAACGTAGACGAATATATTTCATTATAATCTTTGCCGTCCGTTCTAGAGGGGGGTAATGATCTTCGTGTCGCCCCCCCAGGGCCGTGTGACACTACCACCTGTGTTACTTCACCTATTCTTCCACTATTCTCTTCTTGTTAACACTTGCCATATAGTATAGCTTTTTAACACCTGTGGTTCATATATTATAGCTTTCTTACACCTGTAGTTAATAAAGTATAGCTTTCTAACACATGTGACTTGTATAGTTTAGCTTCATAACACCTGTGGTTTATATAGTATAGCTTTCTAACACAAGTGGTTCATATAGTATAGCTTTCTAACACCTGAGGTTCATATGGAAAAGCTTTCTACACCTGTGGTTCACATTGTATAACTTTCTAACAATTGAGGTTCATATTGTATAGCTTTCTAACACCCGTGGTTCCAATAGTATAGCTTCATAACACCTGTGGTTCATATAGTATAGCTTTCTAACATCTGTGACTCGTATAGTATAGCTTCATAACACCCGTGACTCACACACCACAACATACTAACACCCGTGACTCACACACCAGAACATACTAACACCCGTGACTCACACACCAGAACATACTAACACCAGTGACTCACACCACAACATACTAACACCAGTGACTCACACATCACAACATACTATCACCAGTGACTCACACACCACAACATACTAACACCAATGACTCACACACCACAACATACTAACACCCGTTACTCACACACCACAACATACTAACACCAGTGATTCACACACCACAACATGCTAACACCCGTGACTCACACACCACAACATACTAACACCAGTGAATACAAAAACCACAAAATCTCACGACTTCCACAATTCCTTACAAAGAGAGGAGGAGACACTGTGACTGGGGTCTTGGCTGTGGTCTTGAATCACCTCAGTAGTGTTGATGTTTAGTCACCATCAATCATGACGATGGACGAGTCTTCCGGGTTGTAGTGGGGGGGAGGGTAGGGGGGGATAATACAAAGGTTTGCGTGTGTCTCTCAAGATATGCTGCTGTTGACCTTCGATGCACGATAAATATCTATACCTCAGTGGTTCTACTGATAGTTTTCTCCAGGAAATGGTTGAGTCCGGTTCTCTTTTTTTTTTATCTTCTGTCTCTCTGTCTGTCTCTCTGTCTCTCTCTCTTCTCTTACTTTCTTTAACGCGAATTTTCGAGTATCTCCCAGTGTAAATAATGTCTCAGTCTGGACAGGGAACAGAGACATATTACAATATGAAAGAATATTACAAATCACGCGATT